AGTTTCTTGACAAGGGGCCATACTTTGGACTACGAGTTCGGTGTTTAGATGAGAGAAAGTTGGATTTAATGTTCTTGTGAGCAAAGTTCATCCACACCTTCACAAGGGCGGAAGAGACAAGTGAGGCAGAACTGGATGGAGGTGCCATGCAGGGGAGGCTTTATGAGGTGTGCAGCTGTGATCTGTAGACTTATCTGCACAGGCCAAACAACGGATGCAGCAGAGGGGAGCCAGGGGAAAGTGTGGTCAGTGAGGGCTTTCAGGAAAGTAGAGTGTGCCGTTTGAAAAGCTGAAGGAGAGAAGATCTATGCCTGGATCTGTGCTGTGGACAGACAGAAAAGGCTTTAAAAACATGTAAACCTTAAGTAAAGACCTCTCTGTGGGGACTGTTTCATGTGAGGAAGCAAACAAGTAAAAATTAACCATGTATTATGGAAACTAGCCATGGGAACTAGCTTTTATATTTTTTACTTATTTGTTTTGCTAGATTGTGGCTCTGTTCTCTTCTGATTCACCCTGGGACAGAGTTAAAATGAATAAAAACAACAGATACTGCCAGGATATCTGCAAATGAAGAGATAGAAAGGCAAAGAAGAAAGGTTAAAATACCTGACTTCACTGGGCTAGATTTTCAGGACAGGTGTCTGAACTTTCTCTCTTGTGATACCCTGGAAGCAGGTACAGCACAGCTGATGGTTGTCAAGTTTGCTACTGATGAAGAACGTGCTAATGAGGGCATGGAACAGAGATTAAAAAGTCTGCTTGAGAAAAGGTTGTTTTTCAGGTCAGGTATCTGAAATATCCTTTGTCTGAGGGGCTGGAACTGGGTTACGAAAGAAAAACTGGAAATCAATTGAAACAAAAATGTTTGCTGTGATGCTTTTTGAAGACTACTGACAACCAATATTTCTCAACAAAAGGCAGAATTAACTAACTTTGTTCTCCTGCTCTTACTCCTGTCAGAGGAAGCAATGTGCTGGGACTAGAAAAAGAGCTATAATTAAGCTCCGCCCATCTTCAAATGCAGGTGAAGTGATCATAATTCATGAAACATTAATATCCATACAATTATAACCTGGGCACAGAGCTAGTACTGATTCATTAATAATGAGCTAATGTCCGCTCACAATCCTGAATGAGGATCCCCAATTTATATTTGTTTTGTGACTCTGATCTTTTTTCAAACCTGGATTTGTAACCAGAAAGAAATTTTGACACCTCCTTGCAAAGCACATGAAGTGTATGAACTTTTTACCCTGAGAAATGCCTTTAAAAAAATAAGCAATTAATTACTTTCATACTAATATGGAAATTTTATGGGTTTTTTTTTTTTTTTGTTACTCCAAAGGAACCATAGTTTAGTGCCTATATTAGGGTCCTGAAAAGGTTACACTTCTTTGTGGTATTTTGGGAGGCTTTACTAATAAGACAAGAATAGACCTGTTGGTCTATTCAAGGGTCCATTTAATTCAGGAGCCTGTCTCCAGCAGTTGTCCAATCATCTCCAGCAGCGGAGATGCCACAGGAGAAGATCAGACTTCCTCAGGCAACATCCTCTGCCTCCATGTTCACAGTCCGTAAACAATACGTTGTGATTTTTTTTTTACTCATACAAAGAACACTTATGACAAAGCAACAGAAAAAAGAGATACAGTACATAAAGGCCATGAGTTGCCTGGTCTACTTTCATAGCTGACCCTGCATTGAGCAGGAGGTTGGACTTGACACTTCCTGAGATCCTTGAAAACTGAGTGCCAACACAATCGCACTCCAAGAAAGGGTACACCAACTGAGGAGAGATGTCCAGATGTAATGCAACAGACCTTTTCCACTTCAGCTGAAAGATGCTGTCCTCATGTTTTAGCAGCAGTGGATAATTCATAAACTTCTGGAAATAGACTAGCTACGAGAGAGGGGCAGGATGCACAGAGAATTAATGTGAAAATACTGGAAGCTGGATACCTGGGGTATTCCGTTAAAGCACTGTCTTGGGACTTTGCTCTTTTCTTTATCCTCTTCTCCAAACCTGCCTCTCATAAATCCCCTCTCGGAATCCTCTTCAGAGCTGCCTGTACTTCCTTCCTTCCTGTCTTTTCCACGAGAGAAACGTGATATCACCTCACCTTTATTTGTTTTAATCCTTTTCCTTCATTACCTCTGGCCTCTGCTCGTTGTTGTACTTTAATGCATTTCTCTAATTCATTTGGTGAACTCCTTAGGGCAGGAACAGTATTTCCGTAAATTTCATTGTGTTTATTGAGCTAAGCGTATAATCAGTCAGAGCGGTCATCTGCAGAAAGATTGTCATTATGATTGCAACAGCTAAATCTGCAGGATAAACCAGTCAGAATGAGAAAAGGCAACTTCGTTTCTATTCTTGACCAATATATTAACTGCTTTCTGACGTCTTCAATAAGTCATTGAGACTGCAGGGACACTTGAACTTCTAAAACAAACCCGTCTCTGCCTTATGAATGGGCAAAGGGATAATTCCTAAAATCTGAAACCTCTTAGACTTTCGCTGACTGGTAAGTCCAGAATACCTTGGCTTGTAACCAATTTGCGTTTGATGAACAAAAGTTTTAATTTTTAGCTGACCTTAAGGTTTTCTGTGCTCATGGAGATGTTCCTGTGATGTAGAATTTTATTCATTTTTTTTAATTCACTTTTTGCAGTGTTATTTCTGGGAACTCACTATGCTCTTTGGGATGGAGTTTTCAAAAATGACTAAGAGACTTCAACAGCACAAGCTTCATGCAATGCAGAGTTATCTAGAGGATTTAGAAAATTTTAGTTTGTTTTGGGGAGTCTTATTTCTCTGCCTGTGAAATGGGTGTGATAGCACTAGACTATGCCATCAGGGTGTTGAAAAATTAATAAATTTGTTCTTACATAATCACAGACACTGGAGGTGAGGTGTGAAGCCTTATATTACACTACAGTCTTTCTATATAGATCATTATTACACATATATTTCTTTCCATATTTATATTACATATATAGTAAATTGATGGGTTGCAAGCAAACCTTACTGTGGAACATCATAAGATGTTGGTCATTGGTTTAGCAGTAGAGAAATTACTTAAACATGATATCATATATAATTACAAGTATTCTTTAAACCTATGAAGAACATCTTGTATTTTAGAAAATTTAGATTAGGAAACAAAGTATGTTTGATTTTGATGTTAATACTGTAATGACTAGTTACCCTAAGATTGCTGTAACATGTTACCTGTGGTTATGACTAATAATTGTTATTTAGCATATTACAAAACTATACACAAGTATTAAGCTTATGTACACGGATTCTGACATTGATGCTTGGTACGTGAGGGTAGTGGGCATGTAAACTTGCACACAGATATGAAGCAACTAAATTGAATGTTTCTTGGAGAAAAAGATCATTTTTCTAATGCTCTTAAGCTACGAAGTGGGAGGTGGCAGACAATAGGTGTCAGCACTGGTCCAGCTATGCACGGCTTGACTGCAGATGTAGAACAAGATAGTCTGTGCTCATTGTTATTTTGGAAAACCTGCTGGAGCAGATTTTAGCTACAGTTCTTGGAAATGGTGTTAAGCACAAGTTTGCTTTGGGCTATACTTCCAGCAAACTGAGTGCCCATAAATCAGTGCTGAGACAATGACTGACAGTTTCTTATAAAACAGTTTATCCAGCTATAGATCAGGTAGTAGAGTACAGAGAGACGGAAGATAAAAGCTGGTAAAAATAATTTATTTATTGTATTCACTCTGACAGATTGCCGAACTACTGAAGGAAAGACTGTTCCTGGAAATGGTAATTTAATTAGGTTTTGTTGCTTCGTGAAATGGTCATAGATGTTAGTAGGAGAAAGACTTCGATGTAGTGCTTTTCCAGGCATTTTAAGGAAACCGTAAGACTAATTAAAACTATTAAGTCTGGTATGCTGAAGAAAGAAGGCAAAGTCGCAGAAATCAGAATGGCGCTGAGAGGATTAACTACAGCCCTAGGAAACTTCCATGACATTTTGGAATCGTGGAATTTTGTGGAGGAATTTTAACCTGGAACTAGGAGCTCAGATGTCTCAATCATGAATATAATGCAAGCCAGGGCTAGACGTCTGTGGATGATTCTGCAGGAGTTTTGGACAAAAAAACAGGAAGATGTAAACAATGGTTGCATAATGGAGAAGCCAGAAGAAATCACCAACAAGGAAAGAGAAGACAAAAATTCTTGAAAGAAGTAGCTTTTCCTCTGTGTTTCACTGGCAACATGCACCTAAGATCCAGGATGTGAGGTTTCAGCCAAAAAAGGTAACCCCAAAGGCTTTAAGAGCCCCAAAAAACCATTATGGTCTAAGCCCAGCACCTCTTCTGAGGTGCTGGATCAGAGTGTCAGTTCTCCGGAATTGCTTGTATCTGGAAAAATACATATATGTTTAAATTATTTCCTCGCAGGTGGAAAGCACTGTAGGTTTAAAATTCTAAGGAAAAATGGTGAAACAGATTTGCAGGCACTCTAGTAGCTAATCTGCATAGATAAAAGAGTTTTTAAATAAGGAGGTGTTCCCATGAGAAAGACCTCTATGCAGCGAATGGCCAGGTGAGTGGCTGTATACATAGAAGAGGGAAAGA